TCATACCCAGCATTTTTTGTGGATTACCATGAAGATTGACCATGTATGTTGCCTACTCAGTTGTACAATATGGGGCCCCCGCAGTTATAAGTTGGTTTATAATCCCCAGTAACTAGTTCGTTATAAGTACCATACACCATAGTGAAATTGGAGTTATGTGAACCCCAACTTAGCTATCAACAATCAGTTTTTAATCCCATTCCATTCCCAACTTGTCTTGGTTTTCTATCCCTATTTTCTATGGTTTCAAACCAACTTGTCGCGATTTCGTGGCCATGGGGGCCCTACTTTGTTCAGAACCTCCACAGTCATGGCCATTTACTGTACTCGTATTAGTTGTAACTGGTTATAAATGGGATTATACATTCTATAAATGGGGTTATAAGTACTTATAACTGGTAAAGGGCCTTAACTGCACCGAGGTCGCCGTCGAGAGATGAACGACCTGCACTTGGAGCCGAAGCAATTGGCCAACATTTTCTGGGCCATGTCCAAGCCGGGCATCCCAGAGCCGATGCCCCGATGCCGGTGCTGTTCCAACACGACAGCGATCTGAATTTTTTGGCAGACGTGCCAGGGGGTTTAGACAGTTATTGCGTGTTATTGCCATTTATTAGTTATAACTGGTTGGTTATACATCATGAAATAATCCCATGTATAACTGTTAGTTGGGCCATAACTGTGTTTAATTAGTTATATAGCTGTTTTTTGACATGGGATTATACATTCTATAAATGGGGATATTTCAGTACTAACTGGTATTTCGGACCAAAACTGTAACTTCTTGAGGCCTCTATGGTTGATTCTGGAAATATTTTTCGAACTAGTTGGAATTTTGAACTAACCATAGTGGGTCAAGGGATTTCAAAGAAAACTGGCATTGTGCACTTCATTTGTTTGTAATCATTAAACATCATTAAAAAAACATGCGCAAAAAAATAATGATTAACACTATATCAAAAATTGAAATGAAGTGACTCATCCTCTTGAAATGGTTTTGTTTTGTTTTTTGTCGATTTAAATACCCTCTGGTAAACTAACACAGCATTGGAAAATCACCATTTATAATAGGTAAATCAACTATAAATGCGCAATTTTCCATAGCAAGCTGTTAGTCATTACCAGAGGGGAATTCAAGTGGGCTATTTCCCCTCTTGAGCGACCAAGGTTGGGCTTCCGTGGCAGCTTGCTGTGGCAGCTGGGCGACGATCTCTCCAGACCAGGCCGGCTTTTATTGTGACAACAAGGGGGTGACACGTGCCATCGTGAAACATACAATGTGGTGCCCCCCCACTGTTATAGCCATTTATTAGCTATAACTGATTACAAATGGGATTATACATTCTATAAATGGGGTTATAAGTACTTCTAACTGGTAAAGGGCCTTAACTGCAGTTATAAGTTATTCTAAGTTGGTTTATAATCCCCAGTAACTATAGTCATAAGTGCAAATAAACCATAGTTTTTGGAGCTATGAACCAACTTGGCGATTTCGTTTAAGGGGGGCCCACATTGTAGATATTGTAGGATTTTTAGCACCAAATTATTGTGGTTTCCAGCCATTCCCTTAGACTTTCAGTTGTTTTTGGTGATAGTTTATACAAAGCCACTAGGTTTTTTCAGCTTTTGGCAGCTGGAAACCAACCAGAAAACGATCAAGAGCGGAATTTAAATGAATTTAATGCATGTATTTTAATGAGATATTACTTGGGATGTCATGGGGTAATTAGTGGTGAGATAGTGGCATGAACTGGGGAGAATAAATACATATACATGTATTACTGGTTGGTGGTTTGGAAAATGTTTTATGTTATGACTTTTCATTGGGAATGTCATCATCCCAACTGACGAAATCATATTTTTTAGAGGGGTAGGTATACCACTAACCATAATATATATATAGCCATTAATAATAATATATATATATATTGATTAATGAACATTATATATATATATAACCCTTAATAAAATATTTTATAGATATATAACCGGTATATACCCAGTCAGTTGGACTAGACAATGTTATTTTTTGGTGGAAGTGTTCACCCGACCACCACACATTGGATGCTGAAACCACGGAAAAGTAGGGTCAAATGTGAGGTGGTTCCTTGGTGTAAGTGTGTTTTCAATGTGTTTACAGTTGGTGAAAATCGTTTTTGTTCAGGTCTACATTCTGGTAAAGACAAAATCACCATTTTTAATAGGTAAATCAACTATAAAGGGATCATTTTCAATAGCTATGTTCGTCATTACCAGAGGGTAACATCGGTTTGAGCATCTTGAGCATTGTGGTTACAACAAGGACCGCCTGAAAGTGAGAGTTTAACCAACAGGGGTGGCCGGTTTGCCCGTAAAAAAAATCTCAAGCCATGGTATATGACTTAAAGTATATGACTTAAATATCCACCCAATAACACAGTGTGCCTCTCCCCCGTTACAAGTCGGTTTATAATCCCCAGTAAACTATAGTTGTCAGAACTATAAACCATAGTTTTCGGAGTTATTAACCAACTTAGCTATCGTTTGGGGGCCCCAGCGTCAAGGGGGCGAATGGCATTGCGCTCTTCGATCGCCTTCCTGCAGATCTCGGCTTTCTCCATTGCGTGCTCACAGGAAATATATAAGGCTTTTACTGCTTTTGAGCCAACAGCTTTGTCTCGAAGGGCTTCAAACCGTGAGTCCACCAAAACGGCCTGTCTCTATTGCTCCAAGTCCAAAGGTCTCTTTCTTAGCCGTGGGTATGTGCTCTTCAGCCAGGATGGGCTGCTGACTTACACGCTTGATGAATCGGCATTGAAAGGCGCTGGGATCGTTCCCTTGTCTGCTGCTGACAACAAAGAAGCAGTGTGCTCAATCATTGCCTATCTGCATCCTCAATCCGGAACATACACCTGGAAGCTCGGCCCCCCTTTTCAGCAGGGAACGGAAAGTACAGATGCTTTTGCAGTCTGGGAATCCATGCCGGGAACTTGTGGCGGCTTGGTCATTGAAGTTTCCGGGAATGGAGCTATTGCGCGCAGGGCTGTCCATGCCGCGGTCTTTGAAGGCGGAACAATGGATGGTCACTATGTAGGGATACAACTAAACCAACGTTTAGAACACTGTTTGGTAAACTACAATAATATAATATAGTATTATAGTATGTGTTTCTTCTTTTAAAATATGTTCAAAATGCGGAACCCTCAAGATACACTCGTTTGTCACCACCTTTCCTATTATATCTGGTTGGTGGTTTGGAACATTTTTTTCCCCACCTGCCAGGTGAGGGTTGTTAGATTTTATCAGAGTTGTTCTTCTCCTTCTCCTCCTCCTCCTTCTCCTCCACCACCTCTGCATCCACTCCCATGTTCACTTCCGCCTTGCCAACTCTTCGCCAAGCTCTTCGCCAACTTCCGCACGCAGTGGGCACTGCACCGCTGGACCTCAACCTGGAACCTTCCGAGCTCAGTGAGGGACCTCAACCTGGGACCCTCCGAGCTCAGTGAGCAGGTTGAGGGACCCTCCGAGCTCAGTGAGCACCGCTGGACCTCAACGGCCAGATAGAATGCCAGAAGATATGCCAGATAGAACGCCAGATAGAATGTCAGAAAGAATGCCAGAAGATATGCCAGATAAAGTGCCAGAATGTTTGCCAGATAGAATGCTAGAAGATATGCCAGATAGAATGCCAGAAAGAATGTTAGAAGATATGCCAGAAGATATGCCAGATAGAGTGCCAGAAGATATGCAAGAACATATGCCAGAAGATATGCCAGGTAGATTGCCAGAACATATGCCAGATAGAATGTCAGAAGATATGCCAGATAAAATGCCAGAAGATATGCCAGATAGAATGCCAGAAGGTATGCCAGATAGAATGAAGGTATGCCAGATAAAGTGCCAGAATGTTTGCCAGAACATATGCCAGAAGATTTGCCAGATAGAATGCCAAATAGAATGTCAGAAGATATGCCAGAAGATATGCCAGATAGAGTGCCAGAAGATATGCCGGAACATATTGCAGAAGATATGCCAGGTAGAATGCCAGAAGATATGCCAGATAGAATGCCAGAAGATATGCCAGATAAAATGCCAGAAGATGTGTCAGATAGAATGCCAAAAGATTTGCCAGTAACAAAACGTATAGATGTCATGGTGTGGATAACTCGAAGTAAAGTAATTTTCCATATATTGGGAATAACCATCCCAACAGACTAATATTTTTCAGAGGGGTTGAAGCCACCAACCAGTTAATTATTTTGCCGATGATATACCCATGGGTCTGGAAGATTGGCTATATCCCCGTATATTGTTGACCCGTAACAAGCTATCAACTAACCATCCTTTCGTTCAAGTCGCAGGTATGTTCTGTTGAATAAAGCAAACTGGCGGTTTCCGAAAATTGGGGTACCCCCAGTCATCCATTTTAGTGGGATTCTCCATGAAATAAACCATCTATTTGGGATACCCCCATTTATTTTTAGTGGGATCATCCAAGTCGACAATTTTGCTATTCACATTCTAAGAACCCCTAAAGAAATATGGCAGTTGACTGGTTTCATGAGTTTTTCTGTACTTTCACAGCGGTTGCCACCAAATGTGCCATGGTTAAATTGGGGTGCTGCATCATCCATAGAGATTTCAGCAGCACATCACATACCATGCAACTTGACCCGACAGCACTTAAGGGCATGACAGTTACCCTCCAGTAATAGCTATGGACAATGCCGGTTTAGTTCGATGAGCTTCCTGTAATGGCCATTTTGCTGGACAAACAGTCAGTTTGCTGAAGTGTTTTTGCGTTTTTTTTTACTAGCCACCATCAACCCCGAGGAACCCGCCAGTTGACTGCTAGATTTATATTAGATATCAAAGGGCTACCCTCTGGTAAACATACAAAAAAACTATGGAAAATCACCATTTTTAATGGGTAAATCAACTATAAATGGCCATTTTCAATAGCTATGTTAGTCATTACCAGAGGCTAGTTAATGGTCAAACCAGCCGGGTGACATCAACCAACATCAACAAACATTTCACTGGGGAGCTTTCTAGATCGGGGGGAGATCAGGGAGGTTTCCCCATTTTTCAGGTCGCCTGGATCACTTTCAAGGGCGAGATTTAGCAGCCCTGGTTCGAGCCTACGCATCCCTGGAGGTGGGAAATTGAAGGTGGGATTGAAGTAACGAAGGATTTTTTCATGGGGAGATCATATTTGGTAAACCCAAAAATAATCCATACAATGTGAGGCCCCCAAGATAGCTAAGCTGGTTTATAACTCCAATAACTATGGTTTATGGTACTTATAACTATAGTTATTGGGCTTATAAACCAACTTATAACTAGGGGGCCCCGCACTGTATGGATGTCAAGCCAAATGTCTGCATGTCCCCAGCCCGCTGGGTGGCCGGGCCTGGCCTACCTGAATCTAGAGCGCCACCAGATCGACCGCAGAATCAGAGCGCCCATGACCTGGAAACATGAATGAAGGGTGCCCCCCAAAGTAATGGTAATAGCTGTTGACCATTGTTGACCCATCTCCACCAGATATGATCAGTGGGTAATTATGAACAAAAATAGGGATATGAAGCAACAATCATGTACAGATCTTTGGCTCATTGATCTCAGCCCTCTAGAAAAAGTCATCGCTTTAGCTTAGTATGAAGTTGTTTTCACAGTTTGTCACATTTATAAACATTATATAAAATGTTGACAAGTTTCACATGTTTCACAATTTTTCACAATTTTATAACTAGATAAAATATGATAAAATTATATAAAGAAAGTCGTTGAGGTTGCTGATTCGCGCTTGCCGTGCGCTTCCGGATGATCAAATCGCGGGGCCAGGGCCATCAGGGCCATCCGGTTCGAATTTCGTGGCAGCACGTCCCCTCTGGAATCATAGAAGGTGGCCCCCAAACGTGATGTGAACGTTGGTTTAGATTCGCCTCAATAACTAGTTCGTTCGTTATAAGTACCATAAACTATAGTGAAATTGGAGTTCTGTTCACCAACTTAGCGATTTCGTTTAAGGGGGCCCCACTTTACAAAGAATTGTTGGATATACCTGGCCTGGTAAACGTTAACAGTTTGCGAACTTGAAAATGGCCATAGCAATAGTTGATTTACCCATTAATGAATAGCATGGTGATTTTCCATAGTTATGTTAGTTTACCAGAGGGTATCAACCATATACTTCGCTATAGATAGGTTTATAAATTTATGTAATATACCATTCATCGTAGCCCATTAAGTATAGGTTGGTTAACTATCTACATATATCTACCCCATCGCCAAGTCATAAACCAACTTCGCCATCTATATCCGGAGATCCATTGACCACATTTAAAGGCCTTTACCAGGTATAAATAGTTTTAAATGGGATTATCAATCCATATAATATATGCACATACTGTATATACACTGACTTAGTCTGACTTATAACTGGTAAAAGGGCCATGACTGCAGCTGGTTTTGACCCACAGCCATGATGCAACTGACGTTGCTCCTTCGCCCTCAGGTGCTACACGAGGGTCTCTTCCGTTCAGTGGCCAGCGCTGCACAGAAGACGCTGACGAGCTTCAGTTCGCAAGACCTGCAGGACGCTTCCGCGTACAACGGGTTTCCAGAGCGGAAAAATGGAACCCATGGGAAACCACAATCCTGTAAGAATGGTGGTTTAAACAGCAAACGTGTGGAAACGTTAGAGGTATATATATATAATATTATATATATATAATTATATACATGAATATATTGTGCAGCATGCGGATGGTTCTCAGGGCTGCTTCAGCCCCTTATAGGAAAAATGATAGCCACCACAGGGGGAATCTTGGTCATTTTGCCTTAAGAACTACCTTGTTATCCTGTCAGGTGTTGGGAGCAACTGTGTCCGGTTAAACCATTGTTTGATGGGTGAATTGATTAGCGTTTGGACAGAGACTTTTTGTTTTGGAGGGTATCCAAGATCGGACACGAGTTATTTACCATTTGACTTTCTTTCGAAAAAAGAGGCCGAGCCATATGTGGTGTTGTTTCCCACTGTTTGACCAAAGGCAACATTAATGTGCTCACCAGCTGTCAGTCCCCAACAGAATGCTGCTATCAACAGATATAATCCTGTAAAGGATGATAGAACTGCTTGGTGCTTTGGCAGCTGGGATGATTTTAGTTAATTTTAATAAGTTGAACAAACATTAACCGTTGGGAACCACCAGGAACCCATTGAGATTGCCAAAATTGCATAGACACTGGAGACACCAAAGGGCTAGTACAGAAACTTCGATCCGAGGTGAGGTCGCCGCAGTGACATTTGATCGTTCACCGAGATGACAGCGATGTCAACATGGCGGGAGCTCATCAGCTCGTTTTCAACGCAAGGCCGCAAGGCACATGACATCGGACCTGTACAATTTCGCATATCTTCTTGTCCCGCATACAGTCTGAGTTTGATGCAGGCGGAAAGTCTCAAAGTGGCTTCGATGGTTTTTTTGCGCTCGTGACGTTTTTTTTCTGTCCCAGATTTTGTTTTTTTCAGTGAAACACGTGTTTTTATTCGAACAGTCGAAAAACATCTGATTGGTGGTTTGGAACCTTTTTTATTTTTCCATTCAGTTGGGAATTTCATAATTCCAACTGACGAACTCATATTTTTCAGAGGGGTAGGCTCAACCACCAACCAGAACATGGTTTCCTTCCTTTTATTTAGTTCACCCAGAAAAAGACTTCTTAGACATGCATCCCAATAAGCAAGTGGCAATACAGTCCGCATAAATCTGGATTGTAACAGTTAAGGCCCCTTACCAGTTATAAGTACTTATAACCCCATTTGTAGAATGTATAATACCATTTGTAACCAGTTATAGCTAATAAATGACCATAACTGAACAATATGTAACCAATGGCTATTTATCATAGCCATTGTGTGATGCTCAGACCGACAGATGACCAGGTAATTGTTGGTCTTTGCCATGAAAAATCTCTGCAATTATTGTCTGGTTGGTGGCTTGGAACATTTTTTATTTTTCCATAGATTGGGCATAGTCATATTTTTCAGAGGGGTACAGTTAAGGCCCTTTACCAGTTATACGTACTTAAAACCCCATTTATAGAATGTATAATACCATTTATAACCAGTTATAACTAATAAATGGCCATAACTGTAGGTACAGTATACCACCAACCAGTTGTCCATAATATGTTTAGTGGGCTTAAATCCCGAGTTGTTGTTCCATTGTTCACTTGAAGAGTCCCACGCGTTTTTAATGGATTGCGCTTGGGGCGTAGATACGAGTCACAAGATGCAGGAACTTGGTCGTTGTTCACTTGAGCAGAATAGCTGCAGCTTTAGTGGATGTCCATCTCCCAGCTGTTGGATATATATATATATATATTATACAATGTGGGGCCCCCAGTAATGTGAACGTTAGTTTATAATCCCCATTATAGTTAATTTTGTACCATAACCCACAGTTATTGGAGTTATGTGAACCCCAACTTAGCTATTGTTTGGGGGCCCCACATAGTATAAATGGGGTTTTCCATTCGTACTTCTAAGTGGTATAACTCGGGCCTGAATCCGGCCTAAGTCATGGGAGATCCCCTCCAGGGGGCCACACATAGTATAATATGGGAAACGCTGTTTACGATAGCTAAGTTGGGGTTCACATAACTCCAATAACTATAGTTTATGGTACTTATAACTATAGTTACTGGGGGGTGGTCAATAATTCTGATAACTATGGTTTATGGTACGCAAATAACGAACTAGTTCTTGAGGCGAATCTAAACCAACTTATAACGTTTGGGGGCCCCACATTGTAGTGAATGTGACCCGAGATTTCCAGTAATTTCTTGTTGGATGAAACCGAAAAACCGAAGATTTCTGGAGTGCTTAACGGCTAGTTTCAACTTATGGTGTTACCCTCTGGTAAACATACATATATAGCTATTGAATATGGCCCATAGAAAGTTTACCTTAATTAACCGAACTTAAAAATGGACGTTTTCCATAGTTGTTTGTATGTTTACCAGAGGGTTTCATGGAAAAGGAGCAGGTTCTTCCGTCATTGGTTATCAATGGCAGAACCCATGATTCCAACCATGGATTTTCCGAAAACTTATCGACAACATCCAATTTGAATCCATCATTTTTTCCTGGACTCCCTGCAGTTAAGGCCCTTTACCAGTTATAAATATTAAAGAAAACCACATTTATAGAATGTATAATCCCATAGAAATAACAAGTTATAACTAATAAATGGCCATAACTGTAGAGTTATGGGCATCGCTATTAGTGAACTAACTGGTTATTTCTATGGGATAATATATATACATTCTATAATGGCTAATGGATGGTTATTCCCCCAGTATGGGAACTTCATAGGTAACAAACGACATTACCCATCCCCATTTAATTACAGGACATTTCTATGGGATAATATATACATTCTATTTTAATGGGCTTTTGTTACTACTTATAACTGGTATAACTCAGGCCTTAACTGTAATAAACCCCTCTGATTTGGGGGACTACACCCCCTCCATTTTCGAAGTTGGCCGGCAGAACCTCTCCTGGGCTTACGCTTTGGCGATGCGCTTTGGATTGTGGCCAAACCCAGATCTGAGGCTCGGGAGGGTAACCCATTGGATCTGAAGTATACTGGGTTTAACTAGATAACATGTTACATTTTGATGGAAATAATGTGGTTTTAGTGCAACAAAAAGCAAGTTCTGGATTCTGGATCAATAAGTAGACCAGGACAAATTGAGTTTTTGATGGAAACAAATGGGTTTGAGTGGAGTTTCACCAGCCAACATGGTTATTTAACCAAAAACTAGGCAACCGGTTGACTCGGCGCCCTTGTAAGGGTGACGAATTAAAAATTCTGATTTTTGAGGCTAGGAGACAAAATGCTGGTATTTGCAGGAGTCGTCAAAAAAGGTTTGCAACATGGACTTTCATTTCGATTGGCAGGCGTGTGACTCAAGAGTGAAAATTTGCGTTTCGCCTGCGCGGTGACGCAATTTTGCTCTTCAAGGGTCAAAAAAAAACATTAGAAATTTATGATTTCAATCATCCGAATCATATCAGGGCGACATTCACTCTTCCAGTTTTTTCCTCTTCTCGACGCTAGCGGTGCCAGAGCGCTTGTGGCAACGCAGAAGCCACAGTCTGCAACAAGGCAGCGTTGTCACGCCATGTCCAGCTGTAGGCCCAAGTGTACCTTTTTTTGTACACGTTTTGTTTATTTTTGTGGAGCATCGACGCAGGTCGCCTTTTTTAAGTGTTTCCATGTTCCATCCATTTGCTGAGTACCCGCAACAATGGTTCTATAGGATCTATCCCACAAACGACCTCGAAAATGATAATTCTTAGTCTTTGTAAAGATATTTTGTTTGTGGTTGACTTGGGCCCACTTGAACCTTTTGTGGGGATAATCTTTGACACAACTGACAGCATGTGCAACGTTTGCATCTTCCGTAATGTAAAGGAAGTGCTCGTCAGGACGTTAATACACCCCCCACCCCCCACCCCCACCCCCCCTGATGATCATACGACAGCATGTGCAACATGTTAAAAACTAAAAAAACAAATCCTATACCCCCATTTCTGCAAGCCTCATTTTTGAAATTTGCAACCCTTCCAAGGGATCGTAAATGGCACATCTCAAAATTGGCAACCCTTCCAAGGGCGCCGTATCAGCCGCATGCCAAAAAGTACTGTATAGGACTGAGAGATATATCGGTGAATCTTTGAGTTGGTGTGTCCTTACCATAAATTGGGTGTCTATTTGGTGAAGTATGGCCACAAACCAACCATTTTATGGTGACACGATAATGGGATTTACGACAATATGGGTTGTATAACCAGCATCAACCAAATAACCAAACATTTGACGCATTATGATATTCGGATGATTAGGATGTGTCTGAACATGTGATATTTTTATATATTCTAATTTACACGCATATGGCACATAGCAATCTAAGACATATTCATACTGAGCTGAAAATGAGCTTGTTGGGTATTAGAGGTAAATTTTGCTATACGACTGTTGGTCAGCATGCTTTGATAAGCAAATATTGCATATGGCAACAAACAAAACACACTTTGTTGATGTGTTTTCTTTAGAACTGGGTCTTGTGTTGTTTTCCTTTGCCATGGATTATCTCAGTGTAAATGACCGTAAACAAACTACCAGATGGACCGCAACCACCTTTTTTTGTTCATTATCCCTGCATTATTGTTAGTTGATGTGTATATATTCCATATATATTTGTACACGTATAAATATGAATATATATATATATATACACAGTATATGTATACAGACACAAACAGTTATCACCCCTGTTATATCCTCTGATATTGTTTAGTATCCACATAGTTTTTGGATTGTGTTGATTGATTCTTAACCCCGTGTATCATGAATGTTCCCAGAACACTATCCGCGGCTGAACCTGAACCGCGCCATCTGAACAGAGGTTGCCATATTTGTTTGTGAAGTCCCAACGTTTCTTTGTCACATTCCATGTTTACCATTTGGTTATTTAACATAGCCGCATAGCCATGGAAAATTGTCCATTTATTCATAGATGGCTTACCTATTAAAAGATGTGATTTTCCATGGCTATGTTAAATAACCAGATGGTATATGCTACATCCATCAAAACCCCCCTGGCTTATGAAACAAACAAATGTATACACGTATTGAACCAGTAACTCTTGTTCAGACTCGTTTGATGTGGTGCAATTCTTCGTTATTATATATATTATATATATGTATAACTACGTATACAGGTTAGTTATCTACCTATATACATTATATACTAGTTGTTACACCTATGTCTATTTGTATATGGCTCTATTTACCTCTATCTATCTTTATTTATCTCTATTGATTTTTGCTACCTCTATCTCTATCGAATTATCTATTTATCTATCTATCGATCTATCTAATCTATCTTTCTATCTATCTATCGATCTATCTATCTATCCCTATGGATCCAAACACCGTCTGAGAAGGTACTTAACCCTCCAAATTATAGTAAATTATACCCCAGTCCCACTTCCTTTCAGAAGGTACGACTGGATCCATAGGGTATCTTAAAAATTATAACTATAGATGATAGTATTTCGAGGGTTATAAACCATGATTTATACCTCAACCATGGTTTATGATATTTTAACTATAGTTATTGGGTTTTAAAACCCAACAAGCATCACTAGTTGGAGACTTTATAACTCCAATTTAATATATATATATATATGTGTATATATATATATATTTATGTCTATATATATATATGTATATATATATATATATGTATAGATATATATATATACACACCATTTTCATACCCCACATTTTCTACTTACTACTTGAAGCCCAGCAGAACCGAGGTCCGGAGAAGATCTGGAAGTCGATGGTCACGTGCGGTCGCCCGGGCCCGGTGAATTGTTTTGGATCTCCAAAGGGTCGATATATATATATGTATATATATATATATAAATACAT